TTTAGCTATCTCAGAATTGTGGGGAAATGGAGCTCCAGTTACCTAGGAATGATCACACGACACTCTCAGGTTGCTGTTGGAATTCACATAGCGACCGATCCAACCCCAGCCTCCGATTTTTATTACAAACACACACACGCCCCCCACATGAGTCAGGTCAATCCCCTCCCACAGAACAATGCATGGGGAGTGCCTATACACAGGATGTGCATTCCGATTGGAGCGTAGCCTTTCCTCTTATCTATCACCAGTCCTCCCCTCCCTCCATGAGCTCTCTGAGGGAAGCAACCTTCCCCCTTTACACCAGTCCTCCCTTCCCCCCCATGAACTCTCTGAGGAGAGCAAACTTCCCATTCTATTAGCTCCTAGTGGTATGTAAATTCTCTGTACAAGCATCCCCTAGATCAGTGGTGGGCAACCTTTTTTTCAACTGAGCCAAATCTCGCCAAAACCACAACTGAAATTTATTTTGAGAGCCACATTTTTAAAACTGAAAATACATCCCCCATATAGTAATTCATCCCCCATAGTAATTCATCCCCCATATAGTAATTCATCCCCCATAGTAATTCATCCCCCATAGTAATTCATCCCCCATATAGTAATTCATCCCCCATAGTAATTCATCCCCCATATAGTAATTCATCCCCCATAGTAATTCATCCCCCATAGTAATTCATCCCCCCTATAGTAATGCATCCCCCCTATAGTAATTCATCCCCCCTATAGTAATTCATCCCCCATATAGTAATTCATCCCCCATATAGTAATTCATCCCCCATATAGTAATTCATCCCCATATAGTAATTCATCCCCCATATAGTAACTCATCCCCCATATAGTAATTCATCCCCCATAGTAATTCATTCTCCATATAGTAATTCATCCCCCATATAGTAATTCATCCCCCATATAGTAATTCATCCCCCCTATAGTAATTCATCCCCCATATAGTAACTCATCCCCCATATAGTAATTCATCCCCCATAGTAATTCATCCCCCATATAGTAATTCATTCCCCATAGTAATTCATCCCCCATATAGTAATTCATTCCCTATAGTAATTCATCCCCCATATTAAGTCCCCAAGTCCCCCCTGTGTCAATTCACTTACCTTTGCTCCGCGCGTTCTTCTCGCCGTGTTCCCGCGCCGTTCTGGTCTTCAGGGCGGACTGTGAGAGGAGAGGAGTTCGTCACGCTGCCCCGCCTACATCCTGGCTGCCCCGCCTACATCCTGACAGCTGCAGAGTCCTGACTTTTGGGGGGCGGCCGCCCGAGAGGAGGGAGGGGGGCGGCCGCCCGAGAGGAGGGAGGGGAGCAGGCGCCCGGCACACAGAAGAGTCGCATTTAAGTTTGTAAAGAGCCGCATGTGGTTCACGAGCCGCGGCTTGCCGACCACTGCCCTAGATTAAACAGTGCCAGTCTGTATCTGAATGGGCCCAATACGATCTTTATTAAAACACATCCATCCAGATACAGTTTCAGGTCGGTAATGGCTTGTAAGATATACATGAGCCTACACACGGAGTTCGCACTGCTTGGCGCCTTGCGGTACGAAGTCCATGTGGTACTATGCTGCTGATATGTGGATACAGGCCCGCGGCCTACCGCCGGCGGCATTCGCATCGAATGCCGTGGTGGTATACACGCCGGTCTATAAGCGCAGATCTGCCATCTCATCCGTTAGCGAGCTGAGTACTGTAATACATACATTGTACATGCGCATGGCCCAATTGCAGCCTTCAGAGCTTTAATTAAGCCACACGAGAGACATATGAATAACACTAATATATGACACATTTAAAGTTCAACCTGTAAATACAAAATTTCCATGACACTCCTTGGTACGGAAAAAGTGGAGCTTGGCTATAATATCGCGTGGCGGATATCATATCGTGGTGCTAACGCCCTGTGAACTCTATCCAATTCTAATCTGTCGATTGGGATAGCTGGGTCAAGCTCTTGGAACAGAGCTGTTACCATTGATTGGACATCAACGATCGTTTCCGGAAGGCCACGGATACGTAGGTTTGAGCGCCGTGCTCGGTTTTCAAAGTCCTCCAGTCGTGTTAATAATGTTGCATTTTCGTCACGCAGGAGATCAAGGTCATCCGTATGCGTCTGAAGCGAGGCGTCAAGACCATCTACCCTCTGTTCTAGGTCCGTAGTGCGTTGTCCTAGCTCACGGATTTCCCTAGATAGCGTGGTGGTGATGCGGTCCGAGGTTTGCTTCAAAGCTTTGTGTAGCATTTTTTCAAAGCGTGATAATAGGTCAGGGGGTGTAAGGTCAGGCATCATGGCTTGTGCAGGGACATCGGTTTCAGTGTCAGACCCACCCTCAGACGTGCAGGGATGGCTGGGCTGTGGATCCTGCAGGGCTGCATATGCCCCTGCTGCTTGCTTGCTTCCACGTGTTGGGGCGGTGGCCATCTTTGTGGAGGCCTTTGCCAGGGCCTATTTAATAGTTTTGGTCGATGGGGGGACCTGATGCCGGGGTGCCCCTTTGACCATTTTATTACAAAAGACCTCCTGCGCTTATATGGAATCCTAGCCTCAGAGAAAGCTGCTGGCACTAAACTTATACCCAAAATAAGCGAATAAACAATTAAATAAACAGTGCAGCGCTAATAAATAATACATCAAAATATCCAGTGAGTGAAATACATAAACTCAATATATACCCCCTCAAATTATATATGATAAAATGGTAGTGTCATGCGTGTAATCCCTCATAGGGAATATACAGTGCAATAAGTGACAAATATACTCATAAAACAATATAGTGGCTAACAACGTACAGTGCTCAAAGTAAGTGAACCAATATTCAAAAAAGGTCCAATATAGTGGCAAAAATGTACAGTGCTCAAAGTAAGTGAACCAATATTCAAAAACAAAAAGGTCCAAACAATCAATAAAAAATGCAAAACTTTGTGGTGGTCTTCCCACTCCACTCTTCATGCAAAAAAATAATGTGCAGTGGGCATGATTCACACGTGGCAATCCTTTAACGGCTAAAATGCCCCCTCACCTCCTTACTTAGACCCCACAGGGCCAGCACGCTTTAAGGATCAAACGATCCTATCAGAATGGATTTCTCTCTGGGTTTCACTTTCCACCTCCAGCATCCACCAGGTTAGCAGTCAGCTCCTCCCAGGGTCATAGTAAAACACAAACAGAGACCCTCCATAGTGCAACCAGTTTTAATTATATGATTGACAGATAAAGTAGAGTTCCACTCACATAGGTAACGATTTCATCCAGCTTCCTACCGCATGCTATGGGTGTACTGCATGGGTAATACAAACAGGGTGATCCAATATGGCCCCCACGCCGGAAATGATGTCACTGCGTTAAACAAAGCTCCTCCCAACGTACCAAGGTACTCTGAGGGAGTATACCCGGGATCAACTGCTAGAATGTATACGGCTCGCTCATGTTCTAGTAGATCAGGGCACAGAGTTCTCTGAGGTGCAACCTTTGATTCAGGTTTGTGTAGAGTTGGCTTCATCTGGTACCCCTGAAATCAGGAATGACTTTTTGCCACCATTTAGTGCAGACCAGGTAGAGTCCCTGGTGTGGTTATTAGAGGATGATGTGGATTGCTTCTTGGAGCGTTATTCTGCATGTTCACCACAGGTATTAAGGGATTGTATAAACGCAGTGCAGTCTTTGGTCAGACAGGCTTTGTGTAAGCTGAGCTTTGTTCAACCCCTACTGCAGACATGGTCAGACTTGTTGCACCCAGCCTCAGTCAGCTTACAAAAACCCAGTCCTGCTTCTAATCTATTTCCTCAAAGCTCTATTCCTGCATTCCCAACAGCTCCTCCAGTTACAGCCCAGTATACTTGGCTATCTACCGCATGTCAGTCCCCTGTTCCCACTCGCTGCACCTATCCTGCCTTTAACCCTGTAAAGAAGCCCTCTGTAGCGACTGCTCCCTCCTCTGTCCCATCCTCCAGCTCTTCTCTGTCTCCAGCTGCTCCATTCATTTGCAGACCTGCATTTACTTGCAGTGCCCCAGTAGTTAAAACCAGAAAAAAGCGAAAATTCTTTCCAACCAATACCATCCTGCCCAGTATCCAAACCGGTGAGCCTACCGTCTGAGAACCTGCCTTCCGTGGTTCAGCCTGATGCCTCTCTTCAGCCTGATGCCTCTACTCAGCCTGAAGCCTCTACTCAGCCTGAAGCCTCTACTCAGCCTGATGCCTCTACTCAGCCTGATGCCTCTACTCAGCCTGATGCCTCTACAGCCAGCCGGCCGGATGCCTCTACTCAGCCGGATGCTTCTACCCAGCATAATGAACTGATCCAGCCTGATGATCCTATTAGGCCAGTTGACTCAATGCCCGCTGTTGATCCAGATGATCCGGTACCTGATCCGGTGCCCGCTGTCGTACCTGGTGACTCGGTGCCCACTGCCTTGCCAGATGACGCAGTTCCCGCTGACGAGCCAAATGACCTGATGCCTGGTGACCCAGTGCCCGCTGTCATACCTGGTGACCCGATGCCCGCTGTCGAGCCAGACGATCCAATGCCTGGTGACCCGGTGCCCACTGCCTTGCCAGATGACGCGGTGCCCGCTGGCAAGCCAAATGACCTGATGCCTGGTGACCCAGTGCCCGCTGTCATACCTGGTGACCCGATGCCCGCTGTCGAGCCAGACAATCCGGTACCTGATGACCCGGTGCCCGCTGTCGTGCCAATTGACTCAGAGCCCACTGTCGTGCCTGTTGACTTGGAGCCCACTGCCTTGCCAGATGACGCGGTGCTCGCTGTCGAGCCAAATGACTTGATGCCTGGTGACCCGATGCCCGCTGTCCAGCCAGACGATCCAATGTCTGACCCAGTGCCAGCGGTCATGCCAGTTGACTCGGAGCCCACTGTCGTGCCTGGTGACTCGGTGCCCGCCGCTTCGCCTGGGGGCCCGAGAGACCTGTCGCTCCGCCTGGGGGTCCGGCACCCGCCGCTCCGCCTGGGGGTCCGGCGCCCGCCACCCCGCCTGGGGGCCTGAGACCTGTCGCTCCGCCTGAGGGCCCGAGACCTGTCGCTCCACCTGGGGGTCCGGCGACGCCGCCCGCCCCGCCTGAGGGCCCGAGACCTGTCGCTCCGCCTGGGGGTCCGGCGCCCGCCGCTCTGCCTGAGGGCCCGAGACCTGTCGCTCCGCCTGGGGGGGGTCCAGTGCCCGCCGCTCCGCCTGAGGGCCCGAGACCTGTCGCTCCACCTGGGGGTCCGGCGCCCGCCGCTCCGCCTGAGGGCCCGAGACCTGTCGCTCCATCTGGGGGTCCGGCGCCCGCCCGCTCCGCCTGAGGGCCCGAGACCTGTCGCTCCGCCTGGGGGTCCGGCGCCCGCCGCTCTGCCTGGGGGCCCGATGCCTGTCGCCCCGCCCGGGGGCCCGATGCCTGTCGCCCCGCCTGGGGGCCTGATGCCTGTCGCCCCGCCTGGGGGCCCGATGCCTGTCACCCCACCTGGGGGCCCGATGCCTGTCGCCCCTCCTGAGGGCCCGGTGCCCGCCGCTCCGCCTGGGGGCCCGATGCCTGTCGCCCCGCCTGGGGGCCCGATGCCTGTCGCCCCGCCTGGGGGCCCGACGCCTGTCGCCCCGCCTGGGGGCCGACGCCCGTTGCCCCGCCTGGGGGCCCGATGCCTGTCGCCCCTCCTGGGGGCCCGATGCCGGTCGCCCCGCCTGGGGACCCGATGCCGGTCGCCCCGCCCGGGGGCCCGATGCCTGTTGCCCCGCCCGGGGGTCCGGTGCCTGCTGCTCCGCCCGGGGGCCCGGTGCCTGCTGCTCCGCCCGGGGGGCCCGCTGCCTGCTGCTCCACCTGGTGGCCCGCTGCCTGCTGCTCTGCCTGGTGGCCCGCTGCCTGCTGCTCCGCCTGGGGGCCCGGTGCCTGCTGCTGCTGCTCCGCCTGGTGGCCCGCTGCCTGCTGCTTCGCCTGGTAATCCGATGTGCCTCTGCCCGGAGTCCGGCCCGATGTGCCTCTGCCCGGAGTCCGGCCCGATGTGCCTCTGCCCGGAGTCCGGCCCGATGTGCCTCTGCCCGGAGTCCAGCCCGATGTGCCTCTGCCCGGAGTCCAGCCCGATGTGCCTCTGCCCGGAGTCCAGCCCGATGTGCCTCTGCCCGGTGTGCCTCTGCCCGATGTGCCTCTGCCCGGTGTGCCTCTGCCCGGAGTCCAGCCCGATGTGCCTCTGCCCGGAGTCCTGCCCGATGTGCCTCTGCCCGGAGTCCTGCCCGGTGTGCCTCTGCCCGGAGTCCAGCCCGGTGTGCCTCTGCCCGGTGTGCCTCTGCCCGGTGTGCCTCTGCCCGATGTGCCTCTGCCCGGAGTCCAGCCCGATGTGCCTCTGCCCGGAGTCCAGCCCGATGTGCCTCTGCCCGGAGTCCAGCCCGATGTGCCTCTGCCCGGAGTCCAGCCCGATGTGCCTCTGCCCGGAGTCCTGCCCGATGTGCCTCTGCCTGGTGTGTCGCTGCCCGGAGTCCTGCCCGGTGTGCCAGTCTTTGATATCCCGCCAGTTACCAGACCCGGGCGGTGGAACATTTTGCCCAGCTGGGACTGTTTGGAGCGTCCTGAGGCCGCTCCTTGATCGGGGGGGGGGGTACTGTCAGGAATGGACTGGCCAGCAATAGTGGGACTCAGCTGCCTTATGAGCTGCAGTACCAGGGCTGGCCAGCGGGTGCTCCCAGCAATCAGAGACTCAACCTTGCAGCCAGTCAAACACCTGGAACTAATTATACTGGTGTATTTAAGGGACATTCAGACCTGCAGACTCTGCCTTGGTGTTGTGTTTTTCCTGGGCCCTGTATCTTGTTCCTGCATCCTGCTCCTGTTTCTGTCCCTGTTCCTGTCTTGTTGCTGACCCGGCTTGATTCTGACCTCTGCTGACTTCTCCTGTTCTGATCCCTGGCTTGTGACCCCGACCATTCTCTGCCTGACCCCCTGTACCTACCTGCCTGTTATTTGCTGTACTTTGCTCGTGACCTGACTAATCTCCGCTTGCTCCCCCTGTACCTACCTGCCCAATTGATATTGACCCGGCCTGCCTGACGACGCTTGCATTGTATATACTGTTATCTGTGGGTGGTTTGGTTTGGTTCGTATTGCACTGCGTTTATGTTTGTATTGTTAGTGTTAATAAATTGTTTATAACTTATCTGAAGTCTGCGTTTCCCTGCGTCAGTCACATACCTCTGGTCATACCCGGGAGCCCTGACAGGCCCAGTCATATGAAGAATGAAGCCAAGATTCAGCAATACCAATTCAATCCTAGTTCTCTTCATGCACCAAACCTTCCAACTCACCTATTGTGCTGGGCAGACTTCTGGCATTGGGGAACAAACACTTCCATTCACTGACACCTTGTTCATTCACTGACACCTTGTTCACATGGATTTTGTGTATTTTTTATTTTCATACAAATGGTACCAATTCCACTGGTTGCTTGTAACATGGGAACCTTCTTGTCATCTGCCATAGCCCTCCCCCCATCTTTCCCCATTCCACCCACCAATAGGGACTGACCCCTGCCCGATCTGTCTACCCTGTTATAATCGAATTCTAATAATCCCTCCCCCCCTCCATCCTAGTTTATATACTCCTCTAGCCTTACCATAAACCCCTCCCTCAGCACCGCACCCCCCTTTCCATTTAGGATCCCCAAATTAGTCTGGCCATACATTATACAATCTTCTTCTTCAATCTCCTTTAGATTGACCTTACACTATGTAGCACAAGGGCCGGCCTGATTGCATACAAATTGGAAGTGTTCAGGTAGGACCTCAAATTCTATGGGTTTTTTGTAAATCTAAAGGAAAATTGTACAAGAAGATTGTCTAATGTATGGCCAGCTTTAGACATCTGTTGAAGAAATATCTTATCTGCCATAAACAAGTCTATGAATAGGTGAGGCGAGGCTCAGAAGAAATGCTGTAGACCCTGTCGGTGGAATGTGGTTATTTGCAGTTTTCAGGTATTTCGATGCCATCGGTCGGCAGGTATGTGTGGGGGAGGAGCCAGAGATGTCCATGGTGACGCCTGGAACGGCACTGAAATCTGCACAGATGAGTAAATGGCCTCTCCTGATTTTTTGCACTTTTTTCCATACTTTGTACAGGAAAGAAAGCAGTGGGGAGTTGGGCAGATATCGGGGAACACTGGCAATCAGGGAAAGGGGGGGACACTGGCTATTAGGGAAAGGGGACTCTGGCCATAAGGGTAAAGGGGGACACTGACAGTCATGATAAAGAGGTACCCTAGCTATCAAGTTAAGGGGGAGGGTACACTGGCCATCAGGGAAAGGGGGACATTGGCCATCAAGGTAAGGGGGACACTGATGACTATCAGTGTAAAAGGATACACTGGCCATCAAGGAAGGGTGGTCACTGGCCATCAGGGCAAGAGGGGGGCACTGCCCATAATGGAAAGGGGGCACACTGGCCATAAGGGAATGAAGAAAACATTGACCTTTAGGGTAAGGGGGGATCTGGCCATCAGGATAAAAGGGATACTGGCAATCTGAGTAAGCAGGGACACTGGCCATCAAAGAAAAGGGGTAACTGGCTCTTCTGAAAAGGGGGTACACTGGCTATTAGGGTAAGGGGATACTTGCCATCAGGGTAAAGTGGGACACTGGCCATCAGGGTAACAGGACAATGGTAATCAGGGTATGGGGGACACTGGCCATCAGGGTATGGGGTTGCTGGCCATCAGGGTAAGGGGGGTACTGGTCATCTGGGAAAGGGGGACACTGGCCTTCATGGTAAGTGGGGACCTGGCCATCAGGGAAAGGGGTGTTGGCCATATGGGTAAGGGGGCACTGGCCATCATGGTAAGTGGGGTACTGGCCATCAGGGAAAGGGGTTTTGGCCATAAGGGAAGGGGAGACACTGGCCATCAGGGTAGATGGGACACTTGCCATCTGGGAAAAGGGGGAAACTGGCCATCTGGGTAAGGGGGACACTGGTCATCTGGGTAAGGTGGGGCACTGGCCATCATTGTAAGTGGGGGCACTGGCCATTAGAATAAAAGGGTTACTTGCAATCAGGGTAAGCAGGTACTCTGGCCATCAGGGTAAGAGGGGCATTGGCCAACAGAATAAGAGGGATATTGGTAATCAGGTTAAAGTGGACTTTGACTCTCAGGGTAAAATGGGACACTGGCCATAAGGGTAAGTTGGGACACTGGCCATTAGGGAAAGGGAGCACACTGGCCATCAGAAAAAGGAGGCACGCTAGCCATCAGGGAAAGGAGGGACTCTGGCCATCTTGGTAAGGGAGGACAATGGTAATAAATGTCAGGGGGGACACAGGCCAAAGATGTAGTAGGGGGACACTGGCCATCAGGGAATGGAGAAAACTCTTGCCATCAGGGTAAGGGGGGCATTGGTCATAAGGAAAAGGGGGATACTGGAAACCAGGGTAAGGGGGGACACTGGCCATCATGGTAAGGGGGGGGCACTGTCTATTATGGAAATAAAAGCACTGGCTATTAGGGAAAGGGGGACATTGGCTATCAGGGTAAGTGGGGATTCAGGCCATTAGGGTAAAGGGGGGATATGGCCATCAGGGTAAAGGGGGACACTAGCCATCATGGTAAAGAGGTAACCTGGCCATCAAGTTAAGGGAGAAGGTGCATTGTCCATCAGGGAAAGGAGACACTGGCCATTAGGGCAAGGGGGGACACTGGTCATCAGGGTAATGGGGGACATTGGCCATCAGGGTAAGGGGGACACTTTCCATCAAGGTAAGGGGTACGCTGGCAATCAAGGTAAGGGAGAAACATTGGCCATCAGGATAAAAGGGTAGACTGGCCATCATGATAAGGGGGTAGACTGGCCATCAGGTAAACGGGGACACTGGCCATCAGGGTAAGGGGGATCACTGACCATCAGGGCAAGAGGAGGTACTCTCTATAAGGGAAAGGGGGAGCACTGCCATCAATACGGGGAAGGGGGAACACTGGTTTCAGGGTATGGGGGGATGCTGGCCATCAGGGTATGGAGGGATCCTGGTCATCAGGGTAAGGGGGTATTGGCCATCAGGGTAAGGGAGGACACTGGCCATCAGGGTAAGGGGGGATTCAGGCCATTAGGGTAAGGGGGGAATATGGCCATCATGGTAAAGAGGTACCCTGGCCATCAAGTTAAGGGAGAAGGTGCATTGTCCATCAGGAAAAGGGGGACATTGGCCATCAGGATAAGGGGGACACTTGCCATCAAGGTAAGGGGTACGCTGGCCATCAAGGTAAAGGAGAAAACATTGGCCATCAGGATAAAAGGGTAGACTGGCCATCAAGATAAGGGGGTAGACTGGCCACCAGGTAAGTGGGGACACTGGCCATCAGGGTAAGGGGGATCACTGACCATCAGGGCAAGAGGAGGTACTCTCTAAAAGGGAAAGGGGGAGCACTGGCCATACGGGGGGGAAGGGGGGACATTGGTTTCAGGGTATGAGGGGGATCCTGGTCATCCGGGTAAGGGGTCATTGGCCATCAGGGTAAGGGGGGACACTGGCCATCAGGGTAAGTGGGGACACTGGCCATATTGGTAAGGGGGGACACTTGCCATAGGGGTAAGGGGGTACACTGGCCATAGGGGTAAGGGGGGACACTGGCCATTATTATAAGTGGGGGCACTGACCCTAAGGATAATAGTGATACTAGCAATCAGGGTAAGTATGGACAATGGCCATCAAAGAAAGGGGGTGCACTTGCTTTTAGGAAAGGGGGCACTGGC